CGAATGTCTCAACGCCTGCATGTGCACACTTTACCCTTGTTCCCAGTCTTTTGCCCACTCACAGCTACTATTTACTCATCTACATTTATTTCTTTGTAACTTTGAGCTCAATCACCTCTTTTCAGCCATGAACGAAGCTGCTTACCCACAGCGTTCATGGGGCAACGGTCCCTATGCCTCGGAGCCACAAGGCCGTCCGCTGTATGCAAACACAATGGCACCCCACCATCCTCCACCATCACAACAACAACAGCAGGAGGCGCTGTACGGACCACCGGGCATGGGCTACCCTCCGCCCTCAACTAATGTGCGGGGTATGCCGCCAGCCTACCACCACAGAGGTAGTCCGGCTGCCGCAGGCTATTATGCCAGTGGCTACATGGAACCGCAGCAGCAGCCTCCGCCACAGCCTGGTCCCATGACGTCACCTAATCCACGTGCTTGCTACCCCACTAACACTCCATCCTCAATGGACACTACTACCAACACCAGCGGCTACACCAGTCCTGGGACTGCAGGTCGGATGGGCCTCGGTGACGACTTCATGACTGGTGCGCCAGTACTTGACGCTGGGGCGAAACCATCGGCCAATCCTTCGACACCCACGTCGTCCGGTGCACCTCCCGACCACCGCTGGTTCTCGTCGGCCCAAATGTGCCTGCCCTGAGGCTTTTTCGTGGCCCTTATGCGCCAGGCCTTGTTGCCTCTTTTCTATATACACACAATCACTTCTGCATGCACTTTTGCGTCGATAACACCTACATACATGCATACACACGCACGCCTTCTTAATCATGATATTTCGAATAATTTTTCGCGCCATCTCGACCACCTGTCTACCTGACCTACTTTTTCTTCGAAATCCAAGGGTAACAGTACGAATTTCGATTTTATGTGAGTAAATTTAACATAAGGAATGCAATCCAAAGTAACAACCGGTGATTGCAATTGCCATCACTTGTTTGAATTGTGTGCGTGTATGTATGATGAGGAACTGTGTACATATACGTGTGCCGACTGGTTCCTTTTGGTAAGCACCTTTTTATGTGTGAGCGTATTCTAGCCCTACTTCACTCCCTTGCCCTCCTTCCCCAATATTCTCCCAACTCTAACATGCTTTATTTACGGCATCAATATACAAATGACTACTCCATTTCTCTTGTGGTTTCTTGACCGGTTTTGGTAGTTTCTCAATTCGTAACGATTTACTCTCCGGAATTGGTATTAAGTGAACCAGGGATTAAGGATATCTGCATAATTGCGAGTGTTGAAATTACGGCATCCAAGGAGACAGATTATGACCTTCCATTCTATGGTTGGCATCCCATTCTTCACTACGTTAGTGTGGGAGTGTTCGCACTGTCGGTGCGCTCATAGACTCGAACTAGCTTTGGGTAATGTAAAC